ACACGATTAAGCAAAATTTGAACATATCTTTCTTTTTCAATTCATCGGTGGATCTTATTATTTCAACGTGAAACTTTCAATCAACATCGATCAACAAGACAACTTCGACTTGTTGAGTCTTATGAAGGAGAAGCTTGATTTGAAAAATTCTATCAATACAGAGACTCGCTTGCATGAGATACAAGTTTAAGGATCATATTGAAATATATTATATGCAAATCCACCGACTTTATAGGCAGCTCTACCTAAAAATTACATTAGAAATAGACACATAAACGGTCAGGACACAGTTGCCATTACCAGCTCGTTCGATCGTTGATGATTAAATTTGGGCCGCAAATTGAAATGCCCAAGTATTATTTGTGCATCATTTTCGTAATTCGATTTTTTTGGTATCCTAAGTAATATTCGTGCATCATTTTAATAAATTGTTTTTGCAATTCGATTTCCTCTTCTTCTTTTTTTTTGTGGGTATCCTTGGCATTACTTTTTACCTTTTTTTATAGTGTGAAAGCGTTGCATGGGACATTCTTAAGGAGCACGTCTACAGGTGGGGGCCCCCTACCCCGAGTTCAAAAAGAAAGAAATCTAGCGGGTGCTTTTTGGCCTTTTCTTTTTTATCAATCCACGCCAATGGCCAGGCGTGACTGATAAAAAGTAAAAACCCCCTATTTAACTGTTGAAAATTAAGAAATTCCACACCCAGTGAGAATTAATTTATTTGACGACTATTCCCAATATCGACCTAAGAGATTCAGCTACGGTAAAAAAAAAAAGAAGAAGAAGAAGAAGATCGCTTTGAGATACTTAATTCGCTTAAGTAGAAAAGGTGATTGGTGGCGACTAGATCAATCTTGTCGATTGCATGGCTAAAACCTACCTATAATAGTTAATTATGTTTTGTAATCAAATTTCAATTACTGTCGAGCAATTTCTTATTTCTATTTTCAGCACTTACAATTGTCAATACTTGTAATTCGGTATATTAATTTTGAACACTTATTTGAACCCCTCTTACGTTTTTCAAGTACATTAATTAGGAAAAATACCGTCGAAAATCCTAAATAATGCTCACCCGCAACACCAATGGACCAAACTTTTTCCGTGTTGCCAAAACCCCCAAATTTGTGCTAGTATGACAGACATTACCACCTATGTGCCACAAAATGGAGAATGAACAATATGAACTGTAATGTGAGCATATCAACTTGAAAATAATTAACTTTGCCCATCGTGACATGAATACTTAAAACTTATTTTTTCGTGTGACCGATAGCCCAAACTTGTACTCGCGTAACAAAAATGCAAAAATTTAGGGTTTTTTATCATCACACTTATATAAATTTGGAAATTTTGGTGATACTTATTGGTGTTCCAATGGGAATAGTTTATAATTTTTGGTGATGAAGTAAAAAAAAAATTGAGACATTGGTGAAAGGGTGTAGCTTTGAGTTTTTTGTGTTATTAACTCCATTAATTACGACAACCTAATAACCGTCCTTGCCCCCTCTTCATGTACATATACTCGAGCCCAATAATCTTATAAGGTATAAGAACATGGTAAAAACGAGAAAAGTGATTTTTATTTTTATTTCGAAGGTAGATTTGTATCGAAATAAATGTCCTAAGCACGCGAGCTAGCATTTTTCCAATTTTGTTGCTTTTTCGAGCACTTGCCTTGTGTTTACACTGGAAATATTAGTCAATGCCCCCTAGAAAGTTCAAATATTGGAGAAAAGATTTCTCAACTAAACTTTTTTTTTTATCGGGGGGCGGGGGGCCCCCCCCCCCGCCGGGGGGGCGCGGGGGGGGCGCGCGGGGGGGGGGGGGGGGGGGGGGGGGGGGGGGGGGGGGGGGGGGGCCCGCGGGGGGGGGGGGGGGGGGGGGGGGGGGGGGGGGGGGGGGGGGGGGGGGGGGGGGGGCCCCCCCCCCCCCCCCCCCCCCCCCCCCCCCCCCCCCCCCCCCCCCTGGGCCGGGGGCGGGCGGGGGGGGGGGGGGGGGGGGGGCCCGGCCCCCCGGGGGGGCCGGCCCCCCGGGGGAAAACGCCCCTTTTCCCAGGCCCCATCCCAACCCTTTTAGCCCCTCATTAACCCCTCATTAACGGTCGAAAATTGGCTGTTGTGATGTAGAGAGAGGCGCTTGTTATTTTTGCTATGTTTTTATATTAAAGAAGAAAAGTGACCGTTACTATTTAAAGAAAGACGGTAGGTTCTTGTCAATAATTTCCATCTATCTTCAAAGGAAGACTGAATGGCGGCTTGCCTCCTCATCGTCGTGTAAGTAAAACACAAACCCTTTTCACGAGTTCCATTCACATCGGGAGGGCGGTCGGTAAAAAGCTTATTTTTCACGCTCCCTGATGGGAGCACTGCATCTAGCCTTTGCGATGCGGGTTTTTGCCCGGATCGATGTCAAACATAATAACGTGATTGACGGTCGGTCGATAGTTAACCAAGTAGGTCATGTGTTGCGTTGGGAGTGCGCAACATAAGTCAAATACCTTTATCCGGAGAAATCGCCAAGAGGAAACCTAAAACCAAGCCTCGTTAATATATCCAATTGGACATACATTCACTCAAAAGCTTAAACAAGCTATATAATGAGTTATAGACCACAAGATTCCTTCATCGGAACATGAACAGATTGGGGGTGGAGCAAGAACAACTATTAGGTCAGAAGTGGAGCACCAATCAACCATTGATTCTGATACGTACAAAAGCCTGATACCTTCCCCAGCGGAAGAGGCCAAAAGAGAACATAAATCCGAGCCTGTCAACATATCCGGTTAACCCACCTTTATTCTAAAGTTTAATCCAAAGAATTATGGGTCACTTAGAATATGTTAACTACTTCATGCCACACTACTTATCCGACATGTGTATCTCAACATGTTGAATCCTCAACGAGAGTCTCGGTACATTACCTCGCGCTTCCACCGTATCCATGCCAAAACCATGCTCTCTTGTGGGCCAAGTTGTAAAAACCACGACTTTGCATAAACTTTTGAAGGTTGGAAGACCGCTTTCTCCACCTTTTTCCCCTCCCCCTTTCACGAGTGCGACTTTGAGTGGGGAGGTGGGCTTTGTGCTGGCTTCTGTTTTAACCTTTTCCTTTTGCTTCCCTGCGTCTTTTTGGGTGGCGGGGCTCCGCCTTTTGCTTTGTTTTTCCTCCTTTTGAGCTTTGGGGACTTCGAGGGGGATGCGAACTCCAAGCTTTCGGAGCTTTAACGCCCGCAATTTGACCCCCTTTGTCGTTTTTCGGTTGGTGAAAGGGGCTTGGCGCTTCGGGAGATTTGCTTTCCCGAGTTATAATGGTGTTCTGCCTTTTGGGACTCTCATCACGATAAGGTCCCTCCTATCTCCCTCCCTCCCTCCTCTCTCGAGTCTCTCTTCCTCGGTTGCCGCGGTCAAAAGGAAGGAAGCAAAAGCACGGAAGCAGTCTTTTGCCATAATCATGATGAGATTAGTGACTAATGATGGAGAGATTATGACGTGCTTGCCAACTTGTTGTCGAGGCTCGATTGTGTAAAACTCTAGGGCAATCATCCATTGATCATTTCTTGGAGCTTGAGCTAGGTCCCAAGTGGTTTGTACTTTTGATTGAGGGAAAGCGAAATAAATGGTCTATGAACTTTGGCCTCATGTTTAATTTTATCTCCGAATTTTTAATTTGTTCAACATTGTTCATGAACTTTACCCCTATGTGTAATGTGATCCATGAATCTTAAATTTTTGGTACATGTTTAATTTAATTCCTAAATTATATGAAAATATTGAATATTGTCCATTCATTAATTCAAGCTCAATGACAAATTTGAACATTTTCATTAAGTACATGGACTGAAGTGAACATCTACAAAAAGTACATGAATCATATTGAACAAATTAAAAGTTCAGGGACCGCATGACACATTGGGTAAAGTTCATGGACCATATTGAACAAATTGAAAGTTCGGAGACAATATTGCACATTAAGCCAAAGTTCGGGGATCATTTGTGTCATTTGCCCTTTGTTTTAGTATGTTAAACACATATACTTAATTCAAAAGGATTGCCATTGAATTCTCTAATCAACTTGGGAAAAAAGGAAAAAAGGAAATCTCTTGTTAGCAAAATTATGCTAACAACAAAAGAAAGGAACCTTTTCCTGTCACAAAGAAAAATCGGTAATTTAGTTGATTTTTTTGAGTGATTGTAACATACACCCCAACATATATATATTTTTTTTCACAAGCGACCTTATTTACCATTGAACGGATAGTTAGAGAGAGAGAGAGACTAATTAAGACCCTTAAATCAATGATGGGTAAGATTACTCGTGTAAAGTTCTTTTTTACACTTATGGGGTGTGGTTTGGGGGCTTAAGCTTATGGTCTTTAATATGATAATCGAAAGCTGGATAATCGCTCTCAACGACTTCAAATGCAAATATTCCACTTTGTAAAAAAAAAATTGAGGCATGAGATATCAAAATTATTCACAAGACCTCGTGCTCATATATATTGGCGCGCGCACACACACAAAGAAAGCTGTATAAAACGTGAACAAGAGTTACGATTGAAGTTTAAACTTATCGAATAACGTCAAAGTGGATTGGCTCAGCTGATTAGGTTCGAACTCTCTTCACATCATACCCAAGTTCGAATCCCGCTGCCACCAAGTCCCCTTTGGTAAGCGATATGTAAATCCACTTTAAGACCTTCTAGGCCCGTGGTATGCTTTGACATTGACATGAGGTAATCCCTTCCTCCAAAGGAGGCCATCCGTCTCCTAACGAGATCACGAATTCGATCCGCCTTTACAGGGCGAGTCTTCGAACGGCTCGTGCCACGTTACCCCGGGGCCATCACCACCGTTCACCAGCGCCGGTCGCCTCCTCTCGCCGCTTTTCGATGCTCATCGAGAAAAAAAAAAAGAAAAAAGACAAATAAAAAAGAGGTGGGAGGGTGGGGCCGAGGTCCAATCGTAAATTTGACACGAGAGAAAAAGGAAGGAGGAGGGAGGAGAGGGGAAGAGGAGAGGCTTGAAGTTGAAGCCGCAAAGAGATTATTATGCCCATCATCTCCGACACTTGTCGACCATGTCATCCTCGTTCCTCCTTCGTTCATCCATCCCCTCCACCACCGCCCCATCCCCGGCCCCTCCCGCCACCATATAACCCCACCCCCTCCATCTCCACCGGACTCCCCCACCCACCCTCCTCCCTCCTCCTACCTCCCTCCTCCGCCGCCGCCGCCGCCGCCGTTTCCGAAACTCGAAACTTTCAAATCTCTCCTCCAACACCCAAAGACCGGAGTCCCATCGAAACAGGGGACAAAGGGGCCAAAAGGGTGCGTCTCCCCCGAGCTATGAGAGTTCCCGTCACTTCCCAACCGCAAACAACCGCCGCCGCCGCCGCAGCCCAGTCCCTCAAGCCCGCCTCCGCCGCCGCTCCCCCGCCCCTCTGCTACGAGCCCACCTCCGTCCTCGACCTCCGCAGCCCCGCGTCGGACAAGCACCCCGAGGTCTCCGCCCTGACAGGGGGCGGGGGCGGCGGCGGCGGCGGCGGCGACGGCGAGGATGGGTCCGCCGCCCTCCATTGGGACGAGCATGTGCTCCAGACCCTGGACTGGGACTCCATCATGAGGGACTTGGGCCTCCACGACGATTCCGTACCTCCCTTCAAGGCCAACCCTCACGTCTGCCCCTCCGACGCCTTCCCGCCGCCGCCGCCTCCACCCCAGCACCAGCAGCAGCAGCAGCACCACCACCACCACCACCTCGAGCCGCCGGGTCACTTTCTCCCCCACGACTTCGCCCTCTCCGACGCCTACCCGAACCCGCTCGACTCGTGCGCCGACTCCCCCGCCGGATGGAACGGCGGTCTCGGGCCCGATTTCTTCGGCGAGCTGATCCAGGCCGCCGAATGCTTCGACTCGAGCGAGCTCCAGCTGGCGCAGATGATATTGGCGCGGCTCAATCAACGGCTCCGTTCTCCGGCCGGCAAGCCCCTCCAGCGAGCCGCCTTTTACTTCAAGGAAGCGTTCCAGTCGCTGCTTCTCCTCCAGTCCGGCTCCAACCGGGCTCCGGCTCGGCTCTCCTCTTGGCCGGACATCGTCCAGACGATCCGAGCCTACAAGGCCTTCTCCGGTAACTCTCCGATCTCCATGTTTACGCAGTTCACGGCGATACAGGCCCTCCTCGAGTCGTTCGACGGCTCCATGCTCTTCCACGTCGTCGACTTCGACATCGGCTTCGGTGGCCACTACGCTTCGTTCATGAAGGAGATCGCGGAGCGAGCCGACTCGTGCAAGGTCCAGCCGCCGATCGTGAGGATCACCGCCGTCGTGCCGGAGGAGTTCGCGATCGAGACGAAGCTCATCAGGGACAACCTCTCGCAGTACGCGCACGAGCTCAAGCTCCGGTGCGACGTCGAGTTCGTCCTCGTCCGCACCTTCGAGATGCTGTCCTTCAAGTCCATCAGGTTTGTCGACGGGGAGAGCCTGGCGGTCCACCTGTCGCCGGCGATCCTCCACCGCCTCGGGCCGGCGAGCAACGTCGCGAGGTTCCTCGGCGACGTCCGGCGGCTGAACCCCAGCATCGTCGTGTTCGTCGACACCGAGCCGTGGGCGGACGCCGCCCCCCCGGCGTCGTTCAAGAGGAGCTTCCTCGGCTGCTTCGAGCACTACGCGACCGTGTTCGAGTCCGTGGACGCGGCGACCGGCGGCGGGGACTGGGCGAGGAAGATCGAGGCGTACCTGCTGCGGCCGAGGATAGCGGCGGCGGTGGAGGCTGCGGCGGCCAGGAGGGCGGCGCCGCCGTGGAGGGAGGCGTTCCACGGGGCGGGGATGAGGGCGGTGAGGCTGAGCCAGTTCGCGGACTACCAGGCGGAGTGCCTGCTGGGGAAGGTGCAGGTGAGGGGGTTCCGCGTGGCGAAGCGGCAGGCCGAGCTGGTGCTGTGCTGGCACGACAGGGCCCTCGTCGCCACGTCAGCGTGGAGGTTTTAGTTCTCGCTTAGGAGGAGCGAGGGGGGGTGGTGGAGGGGTTAGGGTCCTCGAGGGTTCCCGTTAATTGCACAATAGTCCCCGTTGACCCGATTTTTTTGTTTCTTCTTCTTCTTCTTCTTTCTTTTTTTTTTGTGGTGATGATGGTGTCTTATTGGGGTGTGATTTCGTCTTTCCTGGTTAAAAGCTCTCGACTTACTTGCATATATAAAATCCAAACACAAACATGTTTGGTGGGTATACATCATAGGTTTTCGTCCCCTTCTTCTCATCCTCGACCTTCGTGTTGTCATCATTTTCGCCCCCCCCCCCCTTTTATTTTATTCTAATTTTCAATTCTGGCCTTTTCTTTTCTTGTATCGATGCTCCGAGCAGAGAGGGTATGGAAACCGGACGACATGATAGTAGTATCAACTAAGGTAAATCGAGAATGCGCGATTAAATAGGTGAGAAAACCAATGCCTATCGTAGGAGAAAACGAGGAATAGAAGGAGGAGGAGCCGACACGTGCGAGCACGTGACGATACTATTGTTTGTTGTGGTTGTCTGAAGTTTTTCGTTCCCAAGTTTAGATGTGGTTGTCCTCTTTCTGTTGGTCATGTGATTTGAGCGACCTCGAGGTTGATGGACTTCCTACTTTTGATTGACAATCTTCCGAGGAATTCGACAAATTTTAAGGAGTGTCGCGTCATCTGCTTAATATGCGCGGACAAGACACGAGATTGATCAGTCGATGGGATGACCAAGGAGTGCGCCGAATCAAACATCGACTAGAGGTTTTTAGAAAGTGCTGCTGATTTGCTGTAGTTCTAGTTCACAGCCGATGCGTATCTCATGGCGATTTCTGTCCAACCCATCACCATCGGTTGACATGGATGCAATGGAGTCTGCATACGGTGACTTGATGGAGACTGAATCATTGGAGGGATCGAGAATTTGCAACATTAGGACGGAGGCGGGGCAAGACTCGAACCGTCGACCATGCTCGAGGCCGAAAGTATTTTGCATGACAGTCGAAAAACAACCGCCACTTCAACAACGCGATTTTCTTCTTGCGAGCGAGTTGACAAGCTTTCGTATGCTGAGGATGTTTCATCTCCTTGCGCCTGCGCATACACAACTGGAATCTCTAGATGTGCACGATCATGTGTAGACTATGATGAAACAGAAAGAAAACGAGTGCATAAAATCAAACTCAACACAACCTCGAGAAGCAGCGAAATCATATGCCCGAGATGGTAACTCCAACATCGATGCGACTGCGCATAATCTTAGTCGTCTTTCTTTAGGTTCGCCGTCCCTCCTAACGACCATAGAATGACCAAACAAAACTCCAATTGAAAAAGAAAGAGACAAGTATTCATAGGAATACAAAGAATTGGGCAAGAGATCACACTGCTTCATGATACAAAGAATTATGGATGGCAGCACTTCACAAGAAAAAAACGAAAGTGCGATAGTGTTGTAACCTCCAGATCCGTCCTCATCTGCTCTGGCCAATTAGTGTTACAAGCAATGTGCATGTTGTCTACTATGGCTCAAACTTAAGAAGAAACTATGTATACTAGAATTACAGTTACAGAAAGAAAGGGGTCAAGGGTATAAGATTAGCGAGACCAAGGAGATCCGTGTTGAGTCGCCGTCGTCAATAGAATAGTTTGACAAGGTCGATGTTATTTCTGCTGCATTCTGTGTTTCATTATTCTCAATAGAAACTCTCTCCTCCTTCAACTGTTCTCCTCACTTCCGTGTGATTGAAGGACTGAAGTGGAGTTGTGTTCAAGATTAGCGACTGCATCAGGGCCGCAGATTCGGGTTAATTCCTCCTGTTAAGCAAGCATCAAAACAGAAATAAAAAAGATGCACAGAAACAGGTGTGAATAATGAAATTTGTCCATTTGCCAGCTCTGCACTATCTGCCAGCACTAAGATAGAGCGGGTAATTCGAGAGTGTTGGTAAAATAAGAAGGAGAGAACTGAATGCAACAGTCTGCTCTATCCAAAACCTTGACAGCACTGTTCTCGGATGTAAGTTTCTCGCATTCCTCTGAAAGCCTATGAAGCTCATCTCTCAAAGTGCGATTCTCATTGCTTAGTGTCTCCACCCGTGCCTGTAATTCTTCGCACTCCGCCTTTACCAAAGAGAGATAAAGTTATGCATAAATCAGACAAGCGGCTAATATGATGAACAAACATTATCACAGAACTCAAGTATCGACATAATGATAAAAATTAAGCGCACCGAAATCAATGACTTCATACCACAGTTACTATTCATTAAAAAGAAAAACTACAAAAGCGGGGTACTTTGATTTTATCAGTGTAAGTAGAGATAATGACACAAATAGTCCTTGAACTTTGGCCTAATGTGCAATGTGGTCCCTAAACTTTTAATTTGTTCAATATAGTCTCTGAACTTTAGCCTAATGTTCAATGTGGTCCTTGAACTTTTGGTACATGTTCAATATAATCTCTGAACTATATGAAAATATTCAGTGTAGTCCCTACGCTAAAATTAATGGAAGGATTACATTGAACATTTTCATATAGTTCAGGAACTAAATCAAACATGTACCAAAAGTTCAAGGACGACATTGAACAAATTAAAATGTTAAGGACTACATTACACATTGGGTTAAAGTTCAGGGACCCCATTGAACAAATTAAAAGTTTAGAGACCACATTGCAGATTAGCTCAAGATTCAGGGACTGATGGTGTCATTTTCCCATGTAAGTATTGGAAAGGACCAGTTGACCCATGTAAAAATTCTGATAATTCCCAAATACAAGTACAATGATAACAAAATAAAGTGCAAACTGGATGCGTAAGGACTGCACATGTGCCTATTGAGATACAAGGAGCTTCGTTGAAGAAGGTTAACTGGGAAACACAAGGAGCATAACAAATACAAAAGCACTCGAATGTGCATCATACCTGCTTTCGTAGTCTTGACCTTCTAGCTGACTCCCTGTTAGATTGCTTCCTTTTCTGCCTTTTTAATTCACGTTCATCCTGTCAAGTTATAAAAAAATTAAGAAAAAGTTCATCCGTATCAGCATGCCACATTAAAGACAATATGCTCGGTAGGATAGCAAAATCCTGTAAAAACATGTCGATAAACAAATCACTAGCTAGGCAGATGCCTCATGAGAGGATCAAATATCTATCGAGCCCATCCGGTCCATGTTACCTCCAGATTGGGAATGACCAATCCAAGGGAAAGCTGACACCATCTCATGACCATTACTTCCTGAAACTACTTTTCTCTGTTTTTTGGGGTATCGTTTACTTAAAAGAGAAGGGGGTCAGTAAAGTATATTTTCTTCCTAAGCACACACTATCAGTTGAGTCTATAATATTAAGAGCTTTGAGCACACAAATGTCAAAGTGGCTCATCACAACAATGTGGTAGCAACACAGTGTAACAAGCCAATCACAAATGGGTGGTTTCAAAATTTAATCGTCATGTAGGATCACAAGCATATTATGTGGACAATACGATTGGTCGATTATACCATATCAGCCAAGTGACCGACACATAAAATGCTTTTTCTACTACGTGAAAAGAAGGAAAAAAGGACTTTTTCTTGCTTTATTGTTGGTTTGTTCTTCATTATTTATCAACGATGGAAAAATGTCAGCACGCTTAAGAAGATCCTAGTTCCAGTACCGTACTTGGACCCATTGATCAGGCATCATTCCTGTTGGGACAAGAGCTGATGAAGCAACGCCAGTATTTGGCCTGATCTTTGCAGCTCCACTAGCAGAGGATGCATTCCACAAATCCATTCCGATATTCAAATTAGTTGCAGGAGTGGCGACTACAGGCTTCCCTGTTACAGAAGCTTGCATTATTGCCGTATTATTTTGCGCATTAGCTCCTGCAAAAAGCCACCATGGTTAGAGACTTCAACATATAGTAAGAAAATTCGAAGTTTTTAGCTTTGAAAGAAAAGTGCGATATATACCATCTGCAAGCATCTGATCAAAGCTTCCTTTCTTACCTGCAGCGAATTCCTGAAGAATAATTGGAGCATTTATAATTAGCGCATGTAAACGACCATCTCAATCTATCGATGAATCAAAAACCTAAGCTCCCAGAATAAGTATAACTCAACATGGATTACAAATGCTTCAGACGAAGTTCACCACTACAAGAATGCGACGTTACAGTGTTCCAGTACGCACCAAAAAAATGATGTTCAAGACACACCTGTTGGCTGTTGTCCTCATTTCCATCAGATGAACCCTCACTACCACTATCAGCACTGCGAACAAGCAAAGACATTATCTGACCCAACAAATTCAAGCAGCTCTTCTATCCCAGATCTGAGAAAGGAGAGCAATTATACCAACCTCTGGGATGCCCCATCATTTCCTGAGCCTGAAGTAGCCTTTACACCATCTGCAGCCTTCTCACCAACCAAACCGCTGTTTCCAGAAGTTCCTTTGGATCTTTTAGCTGAAGCTCCATCTCTTCCGTCAGCACCTTTCCCATCTGGTTCTACATTGGTTTGTGCTGCAACTGGAGTCTACACAAGTAGCAATGACAGTTTAATCTAATGAGATCGACGCTTTCCTCTAATCAGATGGAGAGTCTCCTCCTACTCTTTGTTCGTTCTTAAATTCCCACGTTTTCTTTTCCTGGTTTGCATTAGAAAGAGAAACACTAGGTGTTCAGGAGCATATTCCAATCTAGTCGAGAGAGAAGATACTACCGGAGCCATATTAGGATGAGCATAAGGAGGATATATGGCAGGGTACGGCACTGGCGTGCCATATGGTGGGATCAAAGGATGCTGCACACATTTCAAAAAATAATATAAAATATATATATAAGTTTGTCTCATCCAACCAAACTAACAGCAAAGTTGTATGTTAGTGAAAATATTACAGGCACATTGTTTCCAAATAAAGAGGAAATTCACCTGGCTTCCCCATAGATAAGGATGAGGGCCAGGAGAAGCAACAGTAGAAGCAAAAAAAGGCGGTGGTGTGGCTCCAGGGCCATAGTAAGCCTAACAAGGAAGTTGATAAATAACTTATCAGGACATCACCTGCATTTCTCCACCTATAACTAGACTTGCATATCAAAAGAAAGCCAAAAAGTTTCTGCTAAGGACCTGCATAGGACTTGACCAATCAGGATATGATGGTGTAGTTGGTATTTCCTGCATAGGAGACACTGACATCAAATACCTTCTTCCAGAAGGATAAAAGTTGCACATCGCTTAGCGAAACATAATCCTGATATCATACCTGAGTTGAAGAAGTAGGTTTGGAAGGCTTAGGAGTTGTGCTTTCTTCTCCGGTCCCCATTCAGGAGAGATCCCAAAACCTTTTAATGGTAAATTGTCCCTAGCTAATCACACTTACACTTTGTAATATCTATGAGACACCTGCAGGCATCATTGAGTAGAATTAATCACACATAAACAACTCTTCCATGGTATATCCGTCAGCTCTTTAGTTGATAACAAACAGAAAATCCAGTCCACCATGTAGGCAGCTCCCTTTCCTAATGCATGCATTCCACATAACAAAAGATCCAGGACAGACCTCTAATTATGCATGCCCAAAAGAAGAGACCGACCGACTACATCTCTCTCTCTCTCTCTCATATATATAGGGTATGGGTATGTGCTCGAGTGCGTGAGCATGCCCCCCTCCATGATTGTATTAACATGTTAAAGACCAAATATATCATCAAACAACTCCAGATCATTGTGCATCAACTTGAGGGTCCAAAGAACAATGGTACTACTACATATCCAAACAATACGATCAAACAGCATCAGAGTGACGAGCAATCAGCAAAACGGCCAGTCTGCAATACATTAACGGGCACTTCTACCTTTAAGATCCACAACAATCAGCAGACAGGATCGGGCAAATAAGATGCTACAGGAGCTTATTCTGCAAATTATAATGAGCAATTGCACAAGAAAAAGTAATTTCGTCCCCTAGACAAAATCAGGGATGAAGTCAAATCCAAAGCACAGGATCGGCTGTTCTTCTATTTTGTTCCATCTTTTTGACCATCAAGGAATCCTGAGCTGAAAACTCCTTTTTTTCTTTTATATCACAGCGAGCATAGTCATTAATTTCAGCCAGCCATGATCGGTATATCGTGATTCAATTCAATTAAAGGTGCATGCAATATGTAACTGTTAGGTGGACATTTAAAATATTGAATCGTGAACGAATCTGCTGATTTGATCTGAATCTGCGTGCTCATCATTATATATCATATTTAACCTATCAAATGATGCAACATTAGATTCCGATAGTTTAACACCATAAACTAAGTTCTGCCCATGAACGATTGCTCTGTATGTTTGAATTGCGATACTTGACAATGCGCTGCACCGACTACGGATCAGTCCAATTACTCTAAGGTTGTCACTGAGAGATCCTACTTAAAAACTTCTTATTCCACACAATATATTTCACGCGACTCGTAAATTTGAGATTTCATGTTCACCATCCTTATTTCGATTCGACAACTCCAAGAGCGAGGCTACAACAGCGGCATCGGTCTGCGACCCCTCTAATTTTTCCACAAAGCCAAATCTAACTCTCTCTCGAGAGAACCACTACATAGTACATAACTTCCTTAACAGTCGCAACATCAATGCCAAAGCTCTCTCTACTGTCCCAAAAATTTAGATGGACAGTAGCCCCCTCGCACACAATCTTCTCAAGGACACTTCCTGACCGTTGCGACCCCTGAACGGTACGAAATCCGATAAAAACATCCTTCTACAAACTGCCGAATCTCCGGCTAACTTCCCCGACAAGTATCCCCGAGACGCCCGAAAAGCAAATCCAAGACACCGAAAAAAACCAGAGCAGCAGCAGCAGAACACGTCCACGTAAAGTCAAGCTCAAATTTCCCTCCCACCACACGAATCCCAACCACCACACATGACGAAACGCTCGACAGACAAATTTTGCTCGCCGTCGAGCAGCGCCGCCGTCACGCCACGCCCCGGCACAAAATTAGCGCCGGAGAAAAAACAAACGCCAACGGAGAGAAACTTATCCACACCCGGCACGCGCGCGGCGCACGCATACGGGTACGGAGATAGAAAGAGACAGAGAGACAGAGAGAGAGAGAGAGACCTGGTTAGAGAGAGAGAGAGAGAGACACACACAGAAAGAGAGGAGGAAATCCAGCTGGAATCCCACGAAGCTACTAGAAACTTCCTCCCTTCGAACAACCTCCTCCTCCTCCTCCTCCTCCTTCTCCTTTGAGTCGGATCCGAAACGCTCGACGATTAGGGCTCGAGCGCGCACCCTCCGACCAATCGCCGAACGCGCCAAAAGAACGAATCACACCTGCAACACCACCAAGACGGACGGACGGACGGTCGGGCGGAGATTGACGACGGTCCTCGTTGCAGCTGCGGCTGCAGCGCGCGTACACGAAGCAGCGTGTCCGAGCGAGCGACAGACAGGGGAGAGAGAAAGATTGTGCGATGGCCTGTTTTACGATGTGGTGTGGCCGTGTCCGATAGGGCGGTGACTTAGGGTTTCGCTGGGGCGACACGTGCCGGGGGATCGGGATCCAGCTGTCCACGTCCCATAGGGCCCGCCCCCCCCCCCCCCCCCCGCACCACGCCAACCCGCGCTCCGACTCATCAGGTGGGCCCCGCCGATCTGGATAATCTCTAATATATTTTCCAATTAATAATTGGCCACGTTTATTTTTTTCGGGTGCGTGCATTATCTGCTCGTAATTATATGGGATAATGACACAAACAGTCCATGAACTTTGGCCCAATGTGCAATTTGGTCCATGAACTTTTAATTTGTTCAATGTGATCTCTGAACTTTTAATATGTAATGTGATCCCTGAACTTTTAATTTGTTCAATGTCATCCCTGAACTTTCGGTACATGTTCAATTCAGTCCCTGAACTATGTGAAAATGTTCAATGTAGTCCTTGAACTTGAATTAATGGAAAGGACTGTATTGAACATTTTTATATAGTTCAGGGATTGAATTGAACATGTACCAAAAGTTCAGGGATGGCATTGAACAAATTAAAAGTTCAGGGACCACATTGCACATTAGCTTAAAGTTCAGGGATCACATTGAACAAATTAAAAGTTCATGGACCAAATTGCATATTGAGCCAAAGTTCAGGGACTGTTTGTTTCATTATCCCCTAATTATAATAATCGGTCGGGGGTATTTATCACCGGCGGCCGTGGAAAACTTCGCGTTCTTGTCCCCGGCCGCGCACGCCTGCCACGTCAGGTGCAAGAGGATCGCTCGCTCCTGGTCAACCAACCGACGAGTCAACACCCTGTCGCGCGTGGACCGAAATTTTCTTGTGGTCGAATATATGGGCGGATACAATAGAGAGGGGCAAAACAAATAAAAAAAAATTGGGATTAGGTAGAGTTTTGACAATGATAAGAAAATAGGTTTAACACAATAAAAGGAAAAAAATAATCCCAAATTGGTTTATTTTTTCGAATCGCGGATAAATCCGAAACCGGTACATCCATCGCCGCATTTTTCCTGAACTAATTTCTGCATCGCGGAAAGCCGTGAATTTGGTACGCCGAATCCACATTTATCTCGGACTAATTTTCGTGTCAGCAAAACTTCTAAATTGGTACACATGTGCCTCATGTACCACCGAAAAATCTCAAGTTTGCCACAATTTAGGATAAATGCAGATGTGTGTACTAGTTTGGGGATAAATGTGATATAGGTGTATTGGTTTGAGATTTTTTGTAAAACGAAAATTAATATCGGTAAATGTGGCGCGGATGCATTAGTTTATAATTTCTGGTGATATTTATCGTAAGAAAATTAAAGTAACTATAATAAGTAGGGAAAATACCACAAAAAACCCTAAATTATGTCCATTGTGATACATTTACCAAAAACTTTTTTTTTTGTGACACCAAAAAATCCAAAACTATGCACATTATGACACATTTACCCTCCGTTAGAATTTTGCTAAAAATCTCCGTTAAAACTCTAACATAGCGCTGACGTGGTGCTCGCGTGGCGCTACATCAGAAAAAAATTTTAAAAAAATTTAAAAAAGTCACCGTTCATCGTCTTCTCGCTCGGCCAGAGCTCTTCTAGAACTCGTCCGTCGCTGCCCACTGCCGCCTGGACCTCCGGGAGCTTCGTCGTAGCTGTTGACCATGGCGGCCGCGAGCTCGAAGTTTGGCCATGGCCACTCGGCTCGAGCTTGAAGCTTGACCATGGTGGCCGCTCGAGCTCGAAGCTTGGCCGAAGTGGATCTTCGCCTTCCGGGAGCTTCGTCGCCGCGAGCTCGAAGCTTGGCCATGGCGGCCGCTCGAGCTCGAAGCTTGGCCGAAGTGGATCTTCGCCTTCCGGGAGCTTCGTCGCCACGAGCTCAAAACTTGGCCATGGCCGCTCCGCTCGAGCTTGAAGCTTGGCTATGGTGGCCGCTCGAGCTCGAAGCTTGGCCGAAGTGGATCTTCGCCTTCCGGGAGCTTCATTGCCGCGAACTCGAAGCTTGGCCATGGCTACTCTCGCGACGACGAAGCTCCCAGAAGGCAAAGATCCACTTCGGCCAAGTTTCGAGATTGAGCGGCCGCCATGGCCAAGCTTTGAGCTCGCAGTCGCCATGGCCAAACTTCGAGCTCGCGACCGTCATGGTCGGCAGCTACAACGAATCTCCCGGAGGTCCATACCAGTAGTGTGCAGCGACGAACGAGCTCCGAAAGAGCGTTGGTCGAGTGAGAAGATGATGAACAGTAACTTTGAAGACGATAAACAATAACTCGCGATGAACAGTGACCTTTTTTGAATTTTTTTTTCTGATGTGACTTCATGCAAGTGCCACGTCAGAATTTTAACGAAGATTTTTAATAGAACCCTAACGGAGGGTAAATGTGTCACAATGTGCATAGTTTGAGATTTTTGGTATAAAAAAGAAAGTTTGGAATAAATGTATAACAATAAACATAATTTGGGGTTTTTGGTAGTCTTTTCCCTAATAAGTATTTGCAAGTGTAAGGTGCAAAAAAGTGTTTTATGCAATGGATAGTTTTCTATTTGCGATGATGCAATATCATCGACCAATCATCTTTATACCTACACGTGTATTATGAATCTCATCCTATTTGGTCCATTCGCGCATACATCTCGCTTTTGACTAGTCGGTTATATCGCATGTCACTGCTGTGTGGAGAAGATCTGTTGCATAAACTATGCATTCGGGTAAGTCACGCCTCTCTTCCTTTTCATCTTCACTTTACTTATGAAAAATAATAAGAATAATAACATTATTAGAGTTATATATAGTTTTTGTCCTCTGAATTATCCTCTTTTATTCGATGTGATGCTCTACTTTTATTTTTACGCAATCAATTCCTATGTTTCTTTTCGATTCGTGCAATGGTTTGCCTTTGTCAATGGCTCCATTACCAACACTAATAAATTGATGATATGGCATTGTTGATGCGGAACATAATGGACATCGGGTGCTGAATCAGCAAACAATAGACAAGGGTAAAAAATTTCTACATACAAGAGAAAAGGGGAAGAGGGAAAAAGAGGCCGACGAAACTTCCGGCAACCCTTGCCGGACACGGTTGGGATGAGGGCTAGTGCGACGCCCTAATAAGGATCGTACGATCTCACTATCGCCATTTTGCGAGGATCGTAGGACCCTATCAGCGATTACTGCGGGCTATGTTGACAACCCTCGTCCGACTTCGATGCTTAGTACCCTCACCTCACCCGGATGAGGATCGTGGGACTCTTGCTGGTTGCTAGATAGACTCGGTTGCTCCCCCCCTCCCTCCCTCCCTTTCTTTTCCGCTCTACCGTCTTCCTTTTCTTTACTTTTTTCTTGCTCGTCGTATCAACGAACGGCGCTCATTTGAGGCCCCATCGACCTCACGTGTTCGTTTTGTGCCCGATCTTCGATTCGAGAGCGTCGATGCAAGGACGTGATCACGCGAACGAAAGAAATATAAAACTTGATTGCACAAAAATGTAAGACAAACGGACAAATTGCACCAATAATGAAACTTTCGTTTTTTTGGTCTGTCACCAATAAGGAAACTTAAAATGCTAAAACTTGTACTTAACCTTTATTATTATTACACCCATTATGGTTAATTAATTATTTTCAGCCTGCCATCGTGTTTTCTCATACTTAAGACAACAATGACATGTACAAAATTAATTACTTTAAGACACTGAATCCCTAAACACGACAGCCAAGAGCAGACTAGGGGAGTGATTCGCGGGGCTACTACTGTTGCCCCCACTTACATCACTAAATTTTTTCTAGATTGTACTTTTTAAACAATATTTAAAACTTTGAAAATTTCTTCAGTAAAGCATATATTGAATTCTAACAAGGATTCATTAGTCAAGATTTAATATTGCCTTTTATTTTGCTCTCACAATATAAGAGAATAAGGATGGCAAAATTCGTGTGAAAACTTATTTTTGCCACAAGAACTACGCATTGCTAACTAAGTTTCTAAAACATTGTACTCGATGTCTGAATAATATAAGTTATTTTTCGTACCTAATTTGGTGGGTATCATTTGTCCCACCAAGCAAACGTTCTAGATCCGTCCTTGCATGTGAATATCAATGCTTGTGCAAAAGAAATAGTTCAATGGATCCGCCGGATATGAGAGATGCTCGAGCTACGTTTGGTAGCCCAAATTTGAGTTTGGTTATCCAATTGGGTGTTTGGCAACGTCCTCCGGATTGCATAAACTCGGATAAAATGCCAGACAAGAAATCCGGAGTAGGGGTGGGATAAACCCGGATTGGATAAATTTTTTTAAAAAAATAACTTAACAAAACGAAAAAATAGACACAACACCTTCTTTGTATTTTGTTCCGGTTGAAAATTAGAGAGAGGGAGAAGTGGAACCAAAAAGAAGAAAAAGAAAGATTTGAACAGATTTCGAACTCGCAATCACAAGGTTGCTCTCACCACTCAATTCCAATCCGTTACGGATCGAACGGATTCTGAACTCGCGATCGAGAGGTTGCTCTCGTCACTTCAATTCCAATTCGTCGCTGATCGATACCTCGATTCGGACCCTCCAATCTTCACATAGCTACTGTGAATTTCAACCAATCCCATCAACTATTGTATGATAATTTCACTTTTTCATCCTTCGTAGCTATTGGAGTTACTTCCGGACATTCAATGAAGGTTTTGCACGAGGGACGATCGAATTGGGGATTTTTCTTGGTGTCTGGAGTTGTGGAGGTGTGAGTTATGGTGGTGTTTACACCAAAATCGGCATAGATGTCAAGTCGGTTTAATGTCAAAATCCGATGGACAATGGAGCTCAGTCGTCTGCCGAAGTACGTTTGGATAAAATTCGGGAATGTAGTAAGCGTGAATGACACCATATCCCGAATTCTGTGATTGGAGAGAATCCGTAATTTTACCGAAACATGAAAAGTCTACATTTCGGGAAATAC